AAATACTTTAGAAATCCAAACAATTTATTGGCTTTATTGCAAATTTACCAAAATGGACTTCGAAATGCGCTTCAAGCTCCACTTGGCCCACAGTTCACAAAAACTTAAACAAAAATTCTTTGACATATCACACACATACACACATACAGTAGACCCTACAGTTTACAGTTGTTTTGTGCTAAACATGACCAATTCATGTCTTGTTTGACTTTGAGGCATTTCGACAAAAATTTCATAGCCTAGTTTTTGCGACTCGCCCGAAGATGGGCAAATTGGCCAAATGCCAGCAAAAGAGACCGACGAGCATTCAAATTGAATACTAGCGCTTAAAATCATTTAGTGTTAATAATAAATAGAGCCATAGAACGGCCGTAACACTTTAATTTGCACACTAATTGCATATTCATGAATAAAAGAGTGGAGGCAACAAAAACAAATGAGTGGAACGCTGCGCAAATTAGTTTATTATTAAATCCCACAGATGTCATTTGAAGCCCCCGAGCGATCTATGTGCGTAAGAGAGACTATCTCAGTATGTATGTATGGGTGTGTGTGTGTGAGTCTGTGTGTTTGCTTGTGTTTATCAAAGTTTAGGTTTCAAGTCCTGCTGGGGGGTTCTTGCTAAATAATTTCCGAAAAAATGATTATGTCATGTCGGACATGTGTAAATGGACAACAGAAATTTGAATGTTAGACAGACAAACACAAACAAACATAAGTCGAGAGTGTTGTGGGCGCGAGTGATGGACTAGCTGTTACCCTATTATATCTAAACATGAATACGGAATAAGTGAAGTCGATGCTAGTGGTAACTCGATATTTATCGATGATAAATTAAGTATGTGCTAAACTTTACCTATATCTAGTATATTAAAATAAACATAAGTGTAATTAGCAATCATTCTAATTATATATTATTCAAGAAAAACGAGATGGAGTTCAATCGATATTTCATAGATTTTTGCTAAAGTAACTGCCAAACTCGATATTTATCGATTACAGCCAAATCGGATTTATAGATTTATGTATGCTTTAAATCGGACCCTAATAAAATGATATGCTTACAAGAAGCGCTGACAAGTTAACATCGATATTTATCGATTTAAAGAATACATTAACTTCATGATTTCGGCAATTGTCTGTCATAGCCTGTAACACGCAAAGCTTCATTCCGCTATTCACTTTCAATTCGTATATACGTCATACCCGACAAAACGAAGCGACAAATTGAGAGAGAGAGATTGAATCAGAGCCAGGAGGCAGAGAGCAGAGGATGTTGCGGGCTGGAGGGAGGAAATAAACAAGCCGGAGGCACAATCTCAAATGGACAAGCGGACAATGCAAATGAAAATGAACTCAAAACTGACAGCCAAAGGGCAGCAGCCCCTATACAAATTTGCAAATTGATTTCAGTCCGGAGCTGAACGAGAAGGAGGCGGCGGCGGCGGCTGCGGCGACGGGACATAGACCAATTGTGGCAGGAGGCGGGCAGCGACCGCAATTAGTTGACACTCGGTAATATTGCTAGCGGAGCGGGGGCTGAAGGGGGCGCTGCGGCTGACTGCAGTTCCGGCAGGCTTTTAACTACAGACATACTGACATCACACACATACATGCATATGTATTTGTAAGTGCGCCAACTATAAATATGTTAATGCGTTAACATAATTGTGCGTATCGCGGCTTTCGAGTGGCCAAAAAGGTAGAATAACCAGCAACGCAACCTCTCCAAACACTGCTTCTCTCCCTGCTCACCCTCCCCTCTTACTTAACTGACATACTATTTTCATGCAGCAAAGCGCCACAACAAACGGCTGTAAAAGGAAAAGGGTTTGAGGGCCTGGAGCAGCAGCAAGCGGCTTTAATATGATTTAGCCATGGTAGCAGCAGGCAGGGGGCCTGAGCCAGGCTGAGGGCAGCGACATTTGTACGCGTCGTAGCATAGCCCTTGTTTGCCAATGGGCAGATGTGCTAAAGGCGCTCAGGAAACACATGCAAGCGCGTAACGGAGGCAGCAGCTTACAGAGCGCCACGTTTTATTGCACTGCCACAAAAATGGGGCATGCGACTTAATAAACAATAAAATATTGTAGAAATGTAGAACTGTATAAACTGTATAAAATGTGCAATAAATTTTGTGAAATATATTACGCACTCTTTACGATTGCAATATTTATGAGATGTGGATTTCTTTGCCGCTAAATTTAGCAGAAAACTTGCTTAGTAAAATATACAAATTATATATAATTATTTTTTAAAATATTTATTAAAGCCATACGAGATGACCTTAAAAATATATAATTCAAGTATTAAGCTGAAATAATTCATTTTTAATCTGATATTCATTTTCGTTTAGCATAACGTTTTAGCATAAATATGTATATTGACTACGTAACAGCATTGAGCAGGATTGAACCCTCACAATATTGATTAGGCAATATATATTTAGATGCAATTATTAACTTTAAAGTTTACATTTTAGTAATTGTGGAAAATTCTCATTTAGGAATACTTTCTGTATAAGTATTTACTCTACAATATTATTATATTAAATACTTCTTAATTACTCTACATTTTCCTACTCCAGTAAACCTTTTTTTTTATAGATTATTTTTCAATCTATATGAGCACTATACATATAAATCAATAACTATTCTACTTATTAATTCCAAATTTTAGATTTGTTTACTAAAGTGTAACTTTAAAGCTTATCTCTTCCTCTCTAAGCAAACAATTTAATCTGCTCACATATTTTTCTCGCAGTGTAGCCACGCATTCATTGAGTGGCAGATGGCGTTTTGTTGACTGCAGGGAAAGCACAGGGTGTTACAAGTGTGTGTGCACACACAGACACATATATGAAGGTATACATGTGAGTGCGTGTGAGTAGGAGTTAGATGTAAAATTTCGAGTGCTTGTTGTTGTTGTTGCTGCTGTTGGCTTCTCACATTTAGCGGCGCGTTTAGGCACTACAAAAGTTGCTAATGTTTTTAAAAGAGGCCTTTTTTATTATACAAAGTCAAACATTCTGACAGCATAAGCAAGCACAAGCCACACACACACATACATACATATATATACATACATAAAACCACAATACTGACACACACACACACATGTGTAGAGGAAAAAGCGTCTGCGGCTGCTGCAAATGTTGAACAATGGAACTGCGGCTCGCTTATGTTTCTCATTCATTCATATATGCATGTGCATACATAAGTAGCAATTGTGCCTCTGTGCGTGTGTGTGTGTGCATATTACAAGATATAACGCAACACGAAACGCTTAAATTCATCAACCTTATTACACAGCGTGTTGGCTTCATTTTGTGGTCAAGAGCTGAAGCACAAGTAGCCGAAAAAAAAGAGAAAATGTTTATAGCATGCTTACAGGCGCAGCGCAGCCTGAGCAGCTGGGGCAGGAGTTGGAGAACAAGAGCGGCTGGCGGATGGCGGATGGGCAGGTGGCAGCAAGGGCAAAAGTAGCACGAGAGGCCAGGTGCAAGCGCACCTGCTAACCGCTCATTAAAACAAAAAGAGGCAATACTATTGTCATATGACGGAAGACTTCATACACTCGCTGAACAGACCTATGGCAGATATACTTGAAACAAGGGACCACAGCTAGAAATTAAATATATAAACTAGGTTTGAAAAATCCTATTCCGCTCTCTTCGTTTCGACTAGGAGTTTTTGTTTGCAGAGATACAAGTTTGTAAACTTATGAGTAAAAAAAATAAGAACAGATTAATATACATACTATATATATTCTAATTTTTATAAAAATAATATTAGAAGAAGTCATTTAGTTTTCATATTAAATACCTACTAATGTTAGTAGGAGATTAGGTTAAATTTCCAAAGAAAGTTTTTTATTTGAGAGACAATTTTCAGCACATTTAATGTGAAGCTACGAATTCCTATAAATATATTATATTAACAAAAAATTTTTATATTTTTTAATCATATAGAGTTCCCGATTTTAATTAGAGTATCCTTAAGCTAATTATTTTCATCATATGAAACGAACCTGTCTCTTGCGACTTTTTGTATAAATATCGTACTTTCCCATAAACTGAGCTCAGAGAACTATACTTTATGAGGCTCTATGCCATAAACACAGTAAGCGTCGCAATTACTATGCTTGCAGTAAGGGTATAACAAGTCGACCCTACAACTAACACACACACACATACAGACCCATACACACACATATGCTCGCAGCTAGTCACATGGAACTAGTTCAAGTTGTTCATGGCAAACAAACGTAAAATGTTTGGTTTGTTGTCCGTGTCGCCCTGTTCCTATTGTTGTTTTTACTGTAGCCTTTGACTCTGCTCTTTTTTTTTTTGCATAAATAATATTGATTTATTGGCTGGCGCAGCATTTGCGGCTCATAAGCGAAACAATTTTTAATGCTAGAGGCGCCACCTCGTCCATGGAGCCACGTCGTGGACTCCGCAAGGGAGGGCAGACAAAGGGGATTACCTGAACCTTGGGGCAACCTATGGAAACGAATATGTGTGACACACACACACACACACACACACATACATGGCACACATTTCGATGCCATGGCATCGTTTGCCTTACTTCGATTCAAATGTCCTTGTTGCGGGCCATGTGAAGTTTTCTACGACAGCCAAGCCTGAGAGAGTCACGTTCTCGCAGGTGCCTGTCAAAGTTCGTGTTAGTTAACTGCAAGTTGGGACAAACAGATGTCACTTGGCTGACGAAAGACTTAATGAAATTCCAAGAAATTCCGAATTTCAGA